CGGTGTAGAAAGCTATCTCTTCAGAATCTACATCTCCGCTAGAGTTCGTTTGTGCAAAATGTAATAAAAATAAAAATCAGAATATAAAGCAAGCAACCACGTTTCCTGTAGATACAAAATCATACTTGTATTTGAAGATTGAAAATTATCTATAAGCTCTTCATGTAAATATTGAAATTACAGTCTTTTTAAAATACTTCTTAAAGGTTGCATGTCACACTTACGACCAGTATCTACTCATTTGAATTGATCACACATTTATTGCGTGAGCACATTGTCAGTACCAGGCCCTGTGTTGGGCGTTGGAGATGGAAAGATAAATCTGACCGTGTTCCTGTCCTCAAGGGACTTTCTGTTGAGCAGAGAAACAGACTTGCACACTTGTGCGTGGGAATGCCGTGATACAGACATGCCCGTACCCCACAGGCATGGAGTGAGTATGGTCTCAGGTGAATCCAGCGGGGAGAGCTGGAGAAGCATGCCAGAGCACGACAGTGAGCTGTGAGGTTTTGCGTTAGGAAGTAACAGCGAAGTGGAACTTGTTCGTGATGTGGTGTGATAAGAGCTACACTAGAGTAGTAGCTGTGGGAAGGGAGTGCAGGGAGCAGATCTCAGAGAGAGGTTTCAAAGGTAGAACGAGGTCTTGGAGACAGAATGGAAGAAAGGATAGAAGAAGGGGAGTCCAGGATAATCGCAGGCTTTTGGTTGGGATGAGTGAGGTGGGCGGAGATGATACTAGACAAGATGGGGAAAAGGGAGACAGTTTCAGAAAAAGGATTAAAATTCCTCTGGGGCAGATTTTCAGGAGGTAATTCTAACGTAGTAAAAAATAAAGAACTTGAACAGCGTCGTCAACTGTATACATTTTATTGAAGGCCATAGTTGTAGGATAAATTACCCAAAGAGCAAGGAAAGTTGGAGAGAAGAGAGCCTACAGTGAAACTCTAGGAACCACCACCGTTGGAGGGAGGGGCAGGCAGAAGAGAAATGGAGTGGAGGAGATTAAGAAAAATGGCTGGACAAATAAAACGAGAGACATAAACCATCACGGGTGAGAAGACGGGAAGTGGTCAGCCAGCAAGGCCGCTTGGTGCAGAGAAGGCACCCGGGAAGAGAACTGAGAAAAGCACATTGGACTTGACCATTAGGTCTAATTATGGCATTTAAGAGTCGCATTGAGGAAGGGGTTGGGCACTTTCCCGGTGGCCGTGAGGTAAGGAGTGACGGAGTCCAGGCAGCAGCTGGTGGCTTCTCTTTGATGAAAGTTAGCAATGAAGAGATGAGGTTTTGGGTCCAGCAGAAGCAGCCTCAAAGAAATTTTTTTTTTCCTTTCCTCTTTTTTATGATCCTATTTATAGGCTGAGCAGAATGAGTGAGAAGAAATTATTAGTGGTAGAAAGGCTCAGAAGAGAAATGTGTACAAAGCACAGGGAGATAAACATTGAGAAAGCATAGAGGCACATGTCTTCCTTGTGGTAAGGAGGGTAGAGGTAAGATTGTCCTGCTTCTTAGGGCAGAGATGGAGTTTTATTTATAAACCTTGGCTTCAGCATGGTATGTGGTACATACTAGATGCAGAATTAATCAGTGGATGGTACTTCTGGCTTGTCTGTTGGCTTGGTCAGCTGGAAAGTGGCGACACTTGAGCTTTCTTGGTAAGTAACAAATTGGGAAAGGCAGCTGTAGTTGGAGCAACCTGTAATGTCTTGCCCAATCTCCCCAGCCATCTAAACAAGCAGGAAATAGAGGTCAACCATGATGACCTCTCACATGCCCTGCATAGAACCTTCACCTCGTTTCTTTGCTACATAAGTTACTTTTGCTGTCGATGGTATCAGTCTGGTGGGTCTGTGTCCTTTTGAAGAGCCCTTACTGTTTAAGATGATTGCCCTCTGGTGGCCTGATGTATACTGACTTCAGAAAATAACAAGTTATTGAGGATCTACAATAATAATATTAAAATATGTCAGGAAATCAGATCAGATACTTTACCTTGAAAATCCAAATGGCTGATAGAGTATCATCTGAAGTATATGTGCTGAGAATATAAAAATGTGTTCTCCTAATCTCTGCTCTTTTGTATAAGATAGAGATATATTAGCATTTAACATGATAATCCGTACTGGAGCTCACGAATAAAATCAGCAATGTCTGATAACTGCATCATCAAATACCTAGGAAATACATGTAATTCCCTGACAGTATGCTGGGAGAAAATGTCATTCCTAAGAAGGTGATAAACTATCTTTGAATATTTTGTTCATTTCTGTACATTCTATTTGATGTGATGGTGTCAGTATTAAGAAACCATGAGAAGAAAGCTTCAAAATGAGATCAGAACAGTGAACAACCCGATACCCTCCTTTTTTGTGGTTTTCGTAAAACCTGTACCGTGTATAAACGTTTACTACGTTCATAATGTGTTTATCTGTAATGTAAGCATTTCAAGGAGGTATACATGATAAGGAGATTTTATTTATTTAAAGCATTCTGTGTATAGCAATTGATGTAATGCATTGAATAGAAATTTGTGTGTAGTACTGATTTTGCAAATTAGTCACAGAGCGTCCATGTTACTCGTAATTCCAAACTTGACTCTACTCTTTAATATGTTTTTAAATTTAGTTTGAACAGTTTGAAAGCACAATTGGATTTAAACTGCCAAACCATCGCGCTGCCAAGCGTTTATGGAAAGTATGTGTTGAACACCATACGTTTTTCAGGTAGGTGGAGATTATGTAGTGTTTTTTCTAATGAAGAATTGGAATGATTGGAATTACTAATACTGAAAAAGGTTGGTGGGGAGGAGAAGAATGTGAAAGGATGTCCTTTCTGTTCCTTTAAGTTCATTGTTACCAGATTTCTTGACAAGAATCCTACAAGGACTTTTGACTAAATTTGAAGGACTTTCCTTAATTTGTCCTGTGCTTACCTGCCTCGTCCCCCCTTTCTGTATTGTCCCTAGTGTCTTCTCATTGTTTG